TTTATAGACTATCTATCAAAATATTTTCTGATATCCTTTTATTTTTTAACTCTTTTCATTTGAACATTTTTAAACAGCTATTTTCAAATGTTGTAATTGTTTATAAAATAGTAATAAATGTTGCTGTATTGTATTTCAATACTCTATCATATTTTGTATGTTCTATTTTTTGTTTATTTTATTCTTCTTTTTCTTTTAAATATAATGAATACAAACTATTTATATGTTCTTCTATTTTCAAATATTTCATATTCTTCATTATAAATATGAAATGGTTTAAATACTATGAAATAATCTTCTTGAATAATAATTAAAATGATAGTTCATTTTCATCACTTGGATTTGTTTCTTATATTTCTTTTGAGAATCTTGTTGTTTATCTTTCTTATTTCTTTTTTTTTACTTCTTCTTTATCATTCATTGCATGTTTCATTTCTCTTCATTTATTATTATTTTTCTTCTTTTTATTTATATTTTTCATTTCTCTTATCTTTGTTATTATTTTATTGTATTAATTTCTGAATTTTGTTGTATCATTTCATTCTTCCTTATTTTCATTCATTACTTCTTCCTTATTATATTTTTATATCTTATTCTTGCATCATATTTATTCCCATAACAGTGTTTGTTTAATATTCCTCTTGAGTTATTACAATGACAATTACACCATTTCACTTCTTTTCGCTATAAATCAGTTTAATTAAGAATATATCATATGAAATAAATAATATAATAACAATTTATGAAAAAATAGTTATGACTCTCACTATTGTTTATTCATTTAAGTTTATTTCTTCTTGTAACATTATTTTATATTATTTTCATGATATTTCTTTAGAAAAGGAGTATTGATAAATTTAAATTGAATTTTACAAAATAGACAAGATAAAAAATAAAAGTAAATTTTTTATAGAAATTACTTTTTCATTGATTTTTTAACTATCATAGATTTTATGGAGATTTTATTATAAAAATAGTTATGTATAAATATAAATTCACGATTATTTGGTCAACTATGTCTCTAACTTTGAATGTGTTGACTTTATTATGCTTTACAATTAAAAAGTTTATATATTATAGTGTATCAAATAAAACAATGATTATTTTTGATAAAAAATCAAATTAAATTCATGTTTTTCAATTTTGTAGTTGATTCTTTTTTTGGTTTTAATATTTATTTTATCTTCTTTATTTTTCTCACTGCTTTTCTTTTATAAGAGTTATACTTTCATTAAACATAAATTTTATTCAAATATCTTATAATAATATTCACTTATTCTATATGATAAAGGTGATGATGACATTAAACAATAAATGTTGTGAATTTATCTTTTATTTTATTATAATTTGGTTAAGTTCTAACGACATTAAACAATAAATTAGATCTATAACATCTTTTGAAAATGAGCATTTATGAGGAATATTAATGGTTCTATAATAATTTAGAATTAAGAGACACAATAATGTCATAAAAATAACACATAAACAATGTTCAACAACATGCTCTAGAATATTCACCAGAAGTTTTAGAATATCCTAATCCATTACCAGAAGAATTTAAAGCTATTAAACATGAGCAAGAATTACCAAAAGAATTAAGAGAAAGAATCATTGGATTAGTTCTTGGACAAGCAGTTGGAGATGCAGTTGGATTATCTACAGAATTTGTTAGTAAAGAAAATGCATGGTATTTTTATAAAGGAGAACATATAACATATAATCATTACATCATTGACCAACATCGATCAAAATGGATGAATGAAGAGTATAGATGTGCAGATTGGACAGATGATACAGATCAATGCATTTTAATATTGGATAGTCTTGTTCATAACAATGGAGAAGTTGATGTGATAGATTTTGCAAAAAGATGTTATTATTGGATTCACTTTGGATTTACAGAATTAGGAGATTTAGGAGGACTTGGAATCGGAATGAATTTTGGAAAGACTGTAAGAAGAAAAGGATGGATTAATGACCCAATTGGACTATGTGAGAAAATCTGGAGAGATGGAGGATGCAAAGCAGCACCAAATGGAAGTGTAATGAGAACATCAGTTTTAGCTGTTCCATATTTCTGGGATGAAGAAAGA